CCCAACTCCAATGGCAGGTGGACCAGTACAATAGCCATGCCTGAGAAGGGCACAGCAACCATGGGTCCTGGCAGACAAGAAGGGAAGTTACCTTCCTTGGCAACTGCCCTCAGCCCAGGGCCACTTTGTCTCCTAGGATTATGCACTGCCCCCCTGAGGTGGCACACCCGAAGACAGTATGCAGTGCTGCGAAGGCTCCACTGACATCTGTCTGGAGGGCCATCTCTTGGGTTTGCCTGATGCCTATGATGTAGCTCATCACAGTTCAACTTCTCCTCAATAAACCACCTATGTGCAAGTATGTTTCACTACCTGTTCCCTATGGAATTCAACCTGTATCATAAATCTAGCCATTCTGAAAACCTTATCTGTTACCCAGAGGTTCAGTTTCCTTATCTCTTTGAGTTAGCACTAATGTTTTTTGCATTTTGTCCCATCAACACCTAAGCAATCTTCAACAATGGCCACAAGAGTCCTAGATGCGATCAGCTCTCTAGACTCCTGTCCAGTCACTGTTGTCTGCCTTTGCCTTTTCCTGCAGTTTGCAGTAGCTCCTTGTACAGTGCAAAGAGCTCAATAACTACATTTTTATGTGTTATGAAAATCTTATATATAGAAAAGTCATAAAACTACCATACACACCTGAACACATTCTATCTGCCTTAAGAAATAAGGCACAATTGTGCAACTAACCCTCCTGTGAGCTCCATACCGATCATTCCAGCAACACCCAGAGGCAACTACTCTTCTGCATTTAGCTCTTAACATTCTCATGCTTTGGAAAACTTGTTATTTACAGATTAAGAAAACAATAGTACTGGGGGCTGGAGTTGTGGCTCAGTGGTACAGCACTAGCCTGGCATGTGTGAGGCCCTGATTTTGATCCTCAGCACCGTTAAAGATCCATTGACAACTAAAAATTAACAAGAGAATTAGCTGGTATTATATCATATGCATTCATAAGAAACTTTTCTCAATGATTTGTGAAATTAACACAGATGTATGCAAAATCAATTTATTCCTTTTTTACTACCATATGGTATTTATTGGATAACTGCAATTTGTCAATTCTCCTGTAGATCACACTTTGAATGCTTTTCCCTCTAACCCCCCACCATCACTAGAAGCAATGGCACAACAAATATTCTTGTCTGCACATCTTGGCAAGTTGCTCCATGGCAAATGCCCAGTGGGAATTGCTGAGTATCTTTACTAGAAATTTCTTAATGGTCACTCAATGATATCAAACCATTTATACCTCTTCTAGCAAGGCATGAAAGCTCTTTTCACAAAACCCATGGGATCATCATTTTTTTTTTGGGGGGTACTGGGGATTGAACTTGGGGGCTCTCAATTACTTACTGAGCCACATCCCCAGCCCTATTTTGTATTTTATTTAGACACAGGGTCTCCCTGAGTTGCTTAGTGCTTTGTTTTTTGCTGAGACTGGTTTTGAATTCACCATCCTCCTGCCTCAGCCTCCTGAGTTGCTGAGATTACAGGCGTGTGCCACTGCACCCAGCTTGTTCTCATCAATTTTGACATTGATAGATTTTAAATTTTTGCCAGTCTGTTAAGTGTGAAATGGTACATTAGTTTGCATTTGTCTTAAATAGTAGCAATTATAAGCCTAGTAAGTTTGTTGTACAAAAATTACTTCCCACATCTGTAGTTCTAGCTACTTGGAAGGTTGAGCTGAGAGGATCATTTGAACCCAGAAATTTGAAATCAGCTGGGTTATTTCTTAGATCTTGTCTTAAAGAGAGAGCTGAGGATATAGTTCAGTGGTAGAGCACTTGCCTAGTGTGCATGAGGCCCTGGGTTCCATCCCCAACACTGTGCACCTATATGCACTTCCAATTAGCATTTCCCCATGTGTTCCTTAAAAAAGAAAAATGAATAAAAAGGGTTCTGCTCATTTTGTAGCTCTGGGACTTGGGGATGTGTCCTGTTTGATATCTGCATAGGCCCTACTCCCAGATTCCACATCTGTTATCACTTTGGCTTTCAAACCTGGCCTTCTACCAGGCTCCGCTTTTGAATTTCATCTGTCCCCTTTGCTTAGATCCATCTCTGGAAATGAACTATCCTGGCTTTATCTTTTTGACTGTGATGACCCTGACCTGTTTCTGATCACCAGTCTTCTCACTCTGCTCTGGTGTCCCCTCTAAGACCGTTTAATTTTTGGCCAAATTGTGTTCTCTAATCTAGTGCGTGGCTGAGATTTAATATCTACGACCCAAATCCAGCATGTCTAAAACCAATCATAAATACATGCTGCAAACTGGCTCACTCCCTCCTTTCATACTTTTTGGGGGCACTAGTAATTTTTTGCTTAGCCAGTCTAGAAGCCTTCAAGTCAATGTTTTACTACTTCTTCCAAGACAGCAGTTAGGACACCTACAGTAAACTATGGGGAAGGACTGCATCTGACTAGTCACTGTCAATTTTTTCGGGCAAACTTTGTTTTCCCTTCCTTTCTGCTTCCATCATTTTAATTTCTGTCCTTACTGATTTTTTTTTTTCTTTTTTGCAATACCAAGAATTGAACCTAGGAATGTTCTTCCTCTAAATTACATCCTAGCCCTCTTAAAAATTTTTGAGACAGGGTCTTGCTAATTTGCCCAGATGGGCCTCAAACTTGCGATCCTTGTCTCAGCCTCCCCAGTAGCTGGAATGACAGACACGCATCACTTTGCCCAGCTCCATTCACTAATTCTTGCAATAAGTCAGACTGAGCTGTAAAGAACAGGTTTTTGGAGTTCATCTCTGGGGCTGTCCTGAATTCCACTAGCAGAGGATTCCAGGAGAGTTCCTGAGGCTATAAGTAAAGGGTCTTTTAGAAGTCATCATTTTACAGATCTCTGGAAATTCCTTGAGGTTGTGTAGAGAAATTAAGCCCAGGAGAGTTCTTATAGCTATGCCACAAAGGATCCCTGAGCACCTAGTAGTTGTTTGAAAGGGGTCATCAAGGATCCATTGAGATTGCTGGATGGAGATTCCTGGGAGTTTCTATCACCATGGCAAAAGGGGATACCTTGAGTTCCTGCGGTTGTCATCCATTTTTCAAGCATTTATGGAAGGCCTCCTGTGTGAGGTGTTGAGGCTGTTGCTGTGGATAAGGCACAGGCCATACTTGGCAATATCCTACAAGCTAAAAGTGGACACAGATATAATAAAAATGTGGTCAGGTAGATGTTGCAGGGCATGCAGAATTGTAGAAGGATTTGCTATTAGCAAGTATAAAAGTTGAGTGTTATGAGAGTTAATAGAGCCTTTCAGGCTGCTGTGTACCCCTGAGGACATGGTTGGAATGATTGAGGTTATGCATATAAAGTACCTTAGTGGGACACCTAGCATGGAACAAGTACTAAATTGATTATACTCATCAGTATATGAAGAGGCATGGAAAATAATTTTTTTTTTTGGCACCAGAAACTGAACTCAGAGGCACTTAACCACTGTACCAAATCCCTAGCCCTTTCTACCTTTTTATTTTGTGACAGGATCTCACTAAGTAGGGCCTCCAGAAGTTGCTGAGGCAGGTTTTGACCTTGAGATCCTCCTGCCTCAGCCTCTCCAGCTTTCATTAATCAGAAAATATAATCAGGAGCTGAGGGTGTAGTTCAATGGTATTGTTTTTTTCCTACCAAGCAGCTGGCCTGAAAAGAATACAATGTAATTAGTTTCTAAATAAAACTGATGGTGTTTCCAGAAGCTCCTAAATGTTGTACTAAAACTCATCTATATGGGAAAACAAACAAAACTTCAGCCTGCAATGCCAGTCTCCCCCACCCCCAACTTTGGTTTAAGGCCACATAAACATAATGCAAACCCATATGCAATTTCAACTTTTCTGGTAGTGACATTAAAAAAAAAAATATGCATGACTGTAATCCTACCCAGACTGTGTCAAAATAAAAATAAAGATGTAACACGTTCACTTGATGAGATGCTTTGACCATATCCCGTGTGGCTTTGAAACACTTTTTTTTTTCTTTTACCCAATCTTCTTTTCCTTAAACTTCTTCCCCCATCCCATCTTCTCCTTCCTGATCTCTCCTCCCTAGTCTCATTTTCTCTGAATCACCTCTATAAAAGTCCCCTGGTTCCTGCAGATAGGCAGAATCATAGCCTTTGGGACAGGAATCTTCCTGTGTTTCTCTTTTTTCTCAAAACTGTGTCCTCCTTATTGGATTGGCATCGAGGAAAAGGTCCAAGCTTTTGGCAACAAAGAGAGCTCAGGACGAGCTCAGTGGTAGCGCGTTCCTAGACACAATCTTCAGGGGAAAAAAAAAAACAACCCAAAATGATCTTAACAACACATTCTATCGCCTCCAGTATATCCAAATATTATCATTCAACATGCAATCAACGTAAAAGTTATTATTTTCACACCAAGCCACTGGAGTCCCGTATGCATTTCACCCCCAAACACACCCCAGTGAGCACCGGCCACATTCCAAGCAGCGTGTGTCCAAGTGGTCGAGCGCCGGCCAGGCCAACGCTTCAAGCTCCGTCGGTGCTCAAACTTCACCTGACGCCTGGTCAGCGGCCTGGGACTCGCTCCACGTCACTTCGTGGTTGTGTCGCCCGCCCCGCCGCATGGTACACGTGCTCGTCCTCAGTATTTACTGAAGCCCACTCGTGTCCGGCGAAGCGGTGCGGGGCGCACCTTCTGCGGGGTCTGCTTCCCAAGCGACAAACGGGCTCCAGGTCCAGAACCCGGCCTTGCCGCTTTGGTCTAGGGTCAGTCTTTGGAAGGCGCTCAATAAACGAACCGGCGACGGACACCGGGCCGACTTGGCTGTGGTAATGTTGCGCTCAGGCCTCCGGAGGGCCGGAGCCTCCACGAAGACAGCCAACTCACCTCCGCCTCCACCTCCGCCTCCGCGCCAGGAACGCGCTCACCTCCCAGCGTCGCGCTGTAATGACGTCACACGCCGCCTGGACGGAGGCGGGACTTCCGGGCGCGCGGATCCACAACTTCCGGAGCGAGGCGGAAGAGCCTCTGGGCTCTACGCTGAGGAGTCCCGGGAGTGCTCTGGGGCCGCCCGGGTTACGGGAAAGGGCTGCCGGGGGCGGGCCGGCCACACTCGGAGTGTCGGGGCCGCGGACGTGAGGGATGAGGAGGAACCATGGCCAGCGACGGGGCCAGGAAGCAGTTCTGGAAGCGCAGCAACAGCAAGGTCCCGGGCAGGTGGGTGTGACAAGGAAGACCGGGTCGGGTCAGGGGTCAGAGGTCAAGTGGCTGAGTTGACCTGCCGGGCTGCGGGTGGAGACGGGGTCTAGGGAGGGGATTCCGTAGGGTCCCGGCGGTGCCAGTGGCCGCCCGGAGAGCGGGCTGGCCAGGAGGGGAGGCGCCGTCGAGGGCTGTCCGGAGCGCGGACTCGGAGGCTCCCGGGCAGCCGGGCCGGGCGTTGGGCCGGCGCGAAGGGCCTCCCGCTCTGCTGGGCTGCGGCTCTGGCCTGGAGCCTGCAGGAGCGTTGGAGGCGCCCTGAGAATTCCCATCTTCCCACTTTCTGTCCCCAAAACCAACTCCAGAGTTGTGTCAACGAACGCATGAAGCAAATTACAGTGAAAAAAGTTAATACCTGGGTGCACCTTGGAAGTCGTACAGCTTCAAAGTCCTCTGTCGCTGGGCCCTGGGGAAGGAGCGTGCTACCTGGGCCCTGGGGAAGGAGGGTGCTACCTGGGACCCTGGGGAAGGAGGGAGCTACCTGGGACTCTGGGGAAGGAGGGAGCTACCTGGGACCCTGGGGAAGGAGGGTTCTACCTGGGGCCCTGAGGAAGGAGGGTTCTACCTGGGGCCCTGAGGAAGGAGGGTGCTACCTGGGAGATACCTCGGGTGAGGTCAGCTATTGGTGGGAACTGGTTGGAGGCGAGCGCTTCAAGATTTCCAGTTCTATCCCGAGGCGAAAGCCTGCGATCTTGAAAATTAAGAATTGTGATATAAAATAAGTAGAATCCTCATGAGCACGGTGAAGTGATCTGTGCGCCTTTGTTTCACAGTAGACCCCATCGTGTGAGTTTTAGAATCGTAAACTTTGGCATTCACTTCATCCAGTCAGAAAAGCTTGTTTTTCAGCGTCTTGGGGAGTTAGCCAGGAGTTACTGATGGTGCAGATACAGTGACTTGAAGGGAGCCATCAAAGGTGGCCAGAGTCCCTGTTTTACTCTGCCAGTGTTAGGCTTGACTGAACAATATGAGTTTTCATCAAAACCAATGTTAGGGTCCAAGATAAAGTGAAAATTCTGAAATAGTAGGGTATAGGAGGTCCTAGTGGTGACAGGGAAAAGGATCCCATGGCAGTATAACTTTTATATGTTGCTTTTAGGGCTTGAGGTTTTGGACCCTTTCATCTAAATTCTGGTTGTTGTTGTTGTTATCATTATTTTTAAAAAATATTTATTTTTTAGTTGTAGTTGGACACAATACCTTTATTTCACTTATTTATTTTTATGTGGTGCTGAGGATCAAACCCAGGGTCTCACACATGCGAGGCCAGTGCTCTACCACTGAGCCACAACCCCAGCCCCTGTTATTATTATTATTATTAGTGGTGCTGGGGATAGAACCCAAGTCTTCCTGCATGCTAGGCAAGCTCTCTGCTACTGGGCTACATCCAGGTCCCTCTAATTAGTTCTTAACAATCAAAGGAGAAGGAAGAATAATAGAGCTGTTGTGTAGTTAAAACAGTGAATAAACCTTTGGATTGAAGACGGTGTCTCTTGGTAGTTTGTCTTTGTACTGAGTTGAGTAGTGTCTTCTCTAAGTTCATGTCTGTCTGGAACCTGTGAGTGTGAACTTTTTTTGGAAATGGGATCTTTGCAAAATTAACAAGTCTTGGATTTGGATCGGCCCTAATCCAAAGACCAATGTCCTCATAAAAAAGGGAAATTTGAACACAGACTCAGAGACATAAGGAAGACGGCCATGTGAAGATGGACATAGAGGTTGGAGCCACGTGTTTACAAGCCAGTGAGAGCCAGGGATGGCTGGCAGCCACCAGAAGCTGGAAGTGCCTGAGAAGGATCCTCCCTTAGAGTTTCTTAGAGAGCATGGCCCTGCTGATACTTCAGTTTCACGATTGTGGTCTCCAAAACTGATAGTACATGTCTGTTATTTTAAGCCACTATATTTGTGGTGGCAGCCAAAGGAAACTAATATGGCCTCCAGTTTCTTTTGTGAAAAGGCATTAGCCAGCCTTGGAGTTTGGTGCCATGCTGTGTCTTAGGCCCTTTTGAGAGCAGCTTCCAGGTACAGTTACAGAGATGCAGTGGAGTTTTGAGAGTTGTCAGAGGCTGTTACTGAAGAGGGCAAGGCAAATTCAAGAAGTTGGGCCCAAAAGAGAGGCCTCTCCAGCCTCTGGGTTGCTTTCCATTCTGTGGCCCTCACCTGTGACAGAATGGAACTCTCCATGAAGAAGAGTTGTTATGGTGTGTTTTTTCTATCAGTAGGTGGTGGTCACTGCCCACACTCTGGGTCTTCACCTATGCCAGTGCCGTTCTAGCAGAGCTGCTAACCAGGCTCCTGTGGCTTTGCCAGTGGTTTCCATGATAATGAACCTCCAGCAGGGAAACCCAGGAGAGAGACTACACCTACCATAGTGTACTTGACTGTGGAGGGACCTGTACAGCACAACCCTTAACGATGCTATGACATGTGGCTATGTTTATCAAGCACTCAGTTTGACTGGTCCTGTTCTTGGTGTTTCATAAGTGTTATGTTTACCGTTATTTTGTAGTTTGTAAAACACATGCTTTGTCCTCTAGGCAACACTCACTGAGGCAGACTGGGTTAAAACCCGTTGGTCAGTTCTCTTGCAATGTCATCCCACAAGTGGATGTTTTTGCATGACATCTAAGGCGCTTTATAACCTCATCACTACTCAAAATGTTTAGCCACATCTCCCACCCAGCCTTTCTTTGAAATTTGCCCTCAGCAGTGCTAATGGGCTTCTGGGTTCTTCTTTGTACCATGCTGTTTAGTGCCTCTCGCTTTTGAGCTCTTGTGGTCTACCTGAATGTTCCTTCCCTCCCTTTGCTGGGCTTTCTTTTCTTACTTTTCAGAATTCACCTGCAGCATGCCTCTTTTTAAAGCTTTGCCTGTAGATGTGCAGCTTGAACTTTGGTATTCTTTTATGAGTTACCTTTTTCACTAGGCAGTGAATTCTGCAAGGTTAGGGAGTGTGCCTCATCTTACATTGTTAGTACTGAGAAATGGTGGTTCATCCAGACTCTTTCACGTTGGTCTGAAGAGGTCAAGGTCATGTGCTGCATGAGAGTTGGTCTTATTGGTAAACCCTCTGTTCTGTGCACCCCCTGGTCTTTGGTTGTGTATTTGAGACTTTCTTTTTCATGTTAAATTTCTTTTCATCTTTTTTTTTTTTAGAAATTGCCTTTCTGGATGAGGCAGCCAAATGTGGTCTGGTAGAAAGACCTCTGAGTAGGAGTTGAGTGGGTTCTAGCCTTCTCTTTCTGTTATCTGTTTGACATTCACCATGTCTTGTCACTCTGAAGCCATTGGTTTCTGCATCCAAAATGTGAGGGGATTGTATTAGACCTGTGTGGCTGTGGTGTCCAGGGGAAGGTTTGTTTGGTCTAGGTGGATTCTCTTTGATTAGAAAAGGAGAGGCCTCTAGGACTAGTTTTGAGAGTTTGATAAGTCATTTATCCAGTGTTTATTTGACCCATGCTTTATGCCTGGACTGGCTCCAGGTGTGATGGTTACATCAGTGAACAAAATAAGATCTATGTTTTCACGGAGCTCAACGATGTGGAAGAGCAGAGGATCAGTAACCATCAAGAGAGAGTTTCACTGTTGGGAGGTGATAACTACTGTCAAAACTTTAGGTGGGAAAGGCGGGTAGGTAGCTCAGAGGCAGGTGCAAGAGGGAAGGTTTCATGGTGATAAGGTGCTTGGGGACCTCCTCACTGAGAAGATGCCATTTGAGTAAAGATTTGCAGGAGGTGAGGGAAAGCCCCCTGGGCAGCTGAGAGAAGAGCAGTTCAGGCAGAGGGATGAGCAGGCACCAAGGTGCTGACCCAGCAGTGGGGCTGGGATACTTGAGGAGAGGAGCAAGTGGCCAGTGTGACTACAGCCAGTCGTGTGGTCACAGTGAAGGATAGATTGTTATGCATTCATTCTGAAGGGGTGAGGGGCCTGTGGAGGCTTGAGCAGAGGTGTGGCATGGGCTGCCTTGGTGTAACAGGATGGCTTTGGCTGCTCCGTTGAGGCTGGAGGTATGAGGGGAGCAAGGGCAGAAGCCCTGGGACCAGGTAGGAGGCTCTAGCAAACCTCAGTCTCGGTGGTGGGGAGAGGCAGAGGCATGTGGTCAGAGTCTGGAACTGTGGTCTCTGACTCTCTGAGGCCTGCTCTTTCTTGGGCTGTGGACTCGCTTGGCGCTCGAAGGCTGTTGCTTTCCACAGTTGCATTTGGAATTCCACCGCAAGGCAAACCCTGTGCGCTGGGTTCAGGAACACAGGCAGCCTTTCAGCAGGGGTGTGGTGTTTGCTGTTTTAGCACAACTCTGCTGACAGGAGCTAGGCTTGAGCCTGGCATGTGTGGCATGACATTTGTAAGGCGATGTGTCAAGAAAGGCCAGCTTGACTACGGCAAGTCATGGTGCTTGGGACGCAGCTGGAGCAGAGGCAGGTCTGAGTGCCTGGTTCTGTCAGCTTCCAGCTTCCACTGTTGGACCCAGGAGGAATCTGAGCAAATGGGATAGTCAGCTCAGTAGGCCAGCGTCTGTCACCAGCTGAAGGAGAGGTGTTGCTGGGGGATAATGAAGTCATTCAGATGTGGTGAACGCCTCTGAGGTCCCAGCGGCTATGTTGAATGTAGGCAAGCAGACATGGCCCAAGGAGGCTAGAGGAGCAGGGGCAGCCAGCACAGAGGTACAAATGCTGGCTGGTGCGCCCTGGGAGGCAGCACTATGGGCACGTTGGCAGAATAACAGGGTCCTATGTGGATAGAATGGTCGTGTCCTCCCTGAGCACATCTTGCCTGAGATGAGGTCTGGAAGTGGAGAAGGAGCCAGGCTGCCTGAGAGTCCTCTTGCAGGGAGGAGTGGCTGGGTTCAGGTGCCTGTGGCCGGAGGAGCTCCCACATTCACTGCCAAGCGGGATGTCACCGGTGCAGGTTCTGGGCCAGGGGATAGGGACTCCCAGCCCTCCAAAAGTATCTGCTTCTTCATT